GCCAGTACCGCGGGAGCTTGAAAAGGATAAGGATAAGGTGGAATCGGGACAAAGCTCAACTCCTCAAAAACCACAGAAGGGAAAAAATTGAAGAAGATGGACTTATCAACGAAACCAAAGCACAGAGATGAAGAGCGCGGGAGTCGCAAAAATTGACATCAGGCGGAGCTACTGATTCAAGTTAAGAGACACAATGACAGGTATTTGTGCGGAGATTTAGTATCCCTATCAGCTGCTTGCAATCCACTGGCGGGTTTAGCAAATTTACTTAGAAAATGTGCATGGCCCAACTAACGACAGATCCATAGATACGCGACTGGGACTGCTCGAGAGACATCTGTTCCGAAGAAAATTAGGCTATGCAACCTTAGATGAAGGAGTATCATTGAACCCATGTTTGAGAATTGAACCAGACGAGGGTTAACAGACAATGGGGCGAGAACCAACAAAAGTATTGAAAGATCATATTGAAGGCTAATGCTAGGTCGAATGAGGAGCACAGAGATGAAGAGCGCGGGAGTTGCAAAAATTGACATCAGGCAGTTTGTCAACGCAACAGGACAGTCAAGCCCGATTATAGAAAAGAAATGATCTACTCCTGGAAGAAGGGTTTGATTAAGAACGAGGAGGAGGCCAAACCGATTTGTCCGAAGAAAACCATCTTCAAAAAAGAAGAGCTAAGTATGAGGGGACAATCCTTAACGAAACTCTTGAAATGAAAAATTGCAAGACCGAGTCAACGATAAAAACATCCAATGGATCGATTTACCGACAAAGTGATATTGCGGAAACAAAAATCGAGCTCACGCCAAAATCGACCCAATACGCAAGCAAGAGCCAAGTGCCGAGCCGAGAAGAGGCTACAGAAAACTAGCTCAACGGAGCAACTAAAAGAGATTGACTCCAAAGAGGGTTTTCAGCTGCAGTCGCAGCAGGCGGATTCTTTTTTCTCAATGAAAGATTTCAAAATAGCCAAACGATAGTCACGTCCAGAAAAACCGAACCGAGTGAGGGTCTGCGGTAAAATTGAGCTAAACTGATCAAAAGAGGACCTACTCAACAAGCGGCTCTCAGAAGAAAAGGTACAAAAAATTAGATAACAAAAAAAGAAAACGTTGCAACAGCAGCCAATGAGCCAGTACCGCGGGAGCTTGAAAAAGATAAGGATAAGGTGGAATCGGGACTAAGCTCAACTCCTCAAAAACCACAGAAGGGAAAAAATTGAAGAAGATGGACTTATCAACGAAACCAAAGCACATACTGGACACTTTTCAAAATTGTGATTTATCGCCAGCCGAGTGGGAAAACTTGGCCGATCAAGTACTGAAAAGAGGGGACCAAAAAATAGCAGACGAAGTTAGAGGAAGAAACCAACCAGTAAGCAAGAAGGACAAAAAAATTTGATCCTCCAAAAGCTGCATCAGACGACCCAATTATGGAGGACACGGATGTCAGGAGAAGCTCCAAAAAAACTGGATCACAGACAAGGTCTTTTTGATTCTTAATGTTGCCATTAAATCAAAATTTTGTCATGACCGCTGGACTGCAAACCGTCGGTTAGACGCTGAAGAACCCAGTCTGCCACTCAACTACGCTGATATCAGCTGGACTTAGAGAAAACAATTGAACAAAAAATAGATACATTTAATTTTTTGGAATTATAACATTAGTTTTATCTCAAGTCAGTCGCGTAGGTTATCACAAAGACCAATAAGTAAAAAAGCCAAAAAACCCAAAATTATATAAAAGAGGTGTTAAAAACGTATATAACAAGAATTTAAGAATTAGATGCAAATTGCTAAAGAAACGAACAAACAAATTTTTCTAAAAAAACTGGATCACACAAACAATATATTTTTTTATTCTTAAAATCAGAAAAAAAAATATCAATTTTGCCCAGACTATATTGATAAAATGGTAAACCGTGAAGAAAATGCAGTAAGAGGTGGGACAACTCTTGGAAAAAAAAATATTTTCGCTCAAAAACTAAATCTAAAAAGATCTTATGCATCGCCTGAAAAGTTAAGACATGATCCGGTGAAAACCACTCCTTAGATACCAGAACTATTTTTAGGGCGACCAGAGGAAATGGATCAAATGAAAGCTACTGATTCAAGTTAAGAGACACAATGACAGGTATTTGTGCGGAGATTTAGTATCCCTATCAGCTGCTTGGAATCCACTGGCGGGTTTAGCAAATTTACTTAGAAAATGTGCATGGCCCAACTAACGACAGATCCATAGATACGCGACTGGGACTGCTCGAGAGACATCTGTTCCGAAGAAAATTAGGCTATGCAACCTTAGATGAAGGAGTATCATTGAACCCATGTTTGAGAATTGAACCAGACGAGGGTTAACAGACAATGGGGCGAAAACAAAAGAAATTTTCAGAAACTGAGATTAAGCTCCTATTGTTATTATAAAATTCATTACTCAAAATACCAAAAAACAACTTCCACCCGAGGGGGTTTGTGGTACTGCCTGCTACTGTGTAAGTAGTAACGTAACCTAGCGGGATATAGTTATGTATGTAATTACCTATGTCTTTTTATATCAAAACATTGTCAAGACCACTGGACTGCAAACCGTCGGTTAGACGCTGAAGAGCCCAGTCTGCCATTCAACTACGCTGATATCAGCTGGACTTAGAGAAAACATTTGAACAAAAAAAAGATACATTAAATTTTTTGAATTATAACATTAGTTTTATCTCAAGTCAGTCGCGTAGGTTATCACAAAGACCAATAAGTAAAAAAGCCGAAAAACCCAAAGTTATATAAGAGAGGTGTTAAAAACGTATATAACAAGAATTTAAGAAATAGACGCAAATTGCTAAAGAAACGAACAAACAAATTTTTCTAAAAAACTGGATCACACAAACAATATAATTGTTTATTCTTAATATCAGAAAAAAAATATCAATTTGGCCCAGACCATACTGATAAAATGGTAAACCGTGAAGAAAATGCAGTAAGAGATGGGACAATTCCTTCAAAAAAAATATTTTTGCTCAAAAACTTAATCTAAAAAGATATTAGGCATCGCCTGAAAAGTTAAGACATGATCCGGTGAAAACCATTCCTTAGATACCAGAACTTTTTTTAGGGCGACCAGAGGAAATGGATCAAATGAAAGCTACTGATTCAAGTTAAGAGACAGAATGACAGATATTTGTGAGGAGATATAATATACCAAGCAGCTGCTTGCAATCCACAGGCGGGGCTAGCGAAAATACTTAGAGAATGTGCATGGCCCAACTAACGAGGTTTTTCTACGTACAGTCGTTGATTTTCCAGTCACGATAAATATTGATTGTTAATCAAAACTGGGGACAACAAACTAATTCTTTAAGGAAACCTTGGCTAGATTAGATGTGTTCAACAAGGAATAAATTTGGAAAACTTTGCGAAAGAACAACAAAAATCACAAGAACCATTACAGGCAAAGAAACCGTGCACAGCCGCGTGCACAGTCGAAGCTCTTTAAAGAACCAATCGAGAGAAAGCAGATTGGCTGACATCCAATGAGAATCATATTTTCTGCCTCAGAGGAGATCTACTTATTTTATTCCACTGGCAAAAAAAACAGCACACAACTCAAAATCAAAATAATACATATCTCAACACTCTGGTGTCCTTTTTCAGCTCAACTGGCACTCACCGTTCTGACTTTCGCATTTCTTGTGAATCAATATCTGAGTTTAACTTGTTTGGCGATAGCTAGAGGATAATTATTTTGACGCTACTGCCATCTCGTAAGTACTTCCGCGCTAACAGATTAGAGTTACTTGATCGTCTTGAGTTGGCTATTGTAGAAAAACATATTTGCTGCGCTCAGACGCATTGTTACGCTCAAGGTGGAAACAATTACCTCCGACAAATAGGTTTGAAGAGATGTAAGGATTGCTATCACGATCATACGTCAGCCGCGTATCAGCCGTTCAAGAGATCGGGCTAATCATCTGGATGGTACAGAGTCCGATACCAAACTACCGTTACTGTTCGACATGCGTCATTCATTAGTTAAAGTATTAGCTCATAATGCTCCATTTACAAGTTTTTAGTAATAATAATTTTCATGCTTTCTGTGATTTGAGCTATCGAAAAACGTTGCGTAAAATTTGCAAACGTAGAGCAAATATCGTGAAACCAAGGATAACCAATACGCCTGTGGAACAAAAGTTGGGTATAAGTACTTACATTCAGTATAAAACCCTAATTAACGATTATATTATGATTTTAGTTACAGTCTCTAAAATTGAGAAAAAAATCTATTTTAATCAATGATTAATCGATCATAATCTCACTTTTTGAAATCCAATTATAATCAATTAAAAAACATTTTAATTGATTACATTGCTTATTGATCTGTTTTTCGATAAAAGTTTAATCTTACAAGTTTCTAATTCATATAATGCGCACGAAAAATCCATTATAACTGACTATAATCAATTATAATCCCGTTTGTTGGCCCACTTTGTCTCCGACGTTGCATCCGATGTCTTTATATTTTATGCTTTTTGTAGACATTAACTTATCTGCAAAATGAGAGAAATGTTTGATTTTAAACCTTTTCAAATCAACTTTTTAATTTTTTCATTTCTACAATGAAGTTGTTTCATGATGCAAATTTAACGTTTGTTTAACCACTAAAATATCAGTACATTGCTTGGAGTAACGTGGCACACCGGACACAGATCAGGCATCGGGGAACTAGGCAAACGGTTGACAAAACGAGACAGTTCAAGTCGTAGAAACAATCAAACTTGACTAAGTTCGATATTCGATCTTAGCGTTCGACGTTAATTTTGTAACGCGACCTTGACGAGCGAGCACGACGATGGCGCGTGCAAAATACGAAAAGCTGATGTTTTCTGGAAAAGAGAAGGGCTTCATGACATTCATGGAGCAGTTTGAGGATGTACACCGGCGATCAAACCAGAGGAGCTGGCTGAGGAAACGCAGGCGCGGGAGGATGCAGAAGCGGCTCGAGACAACATGCGGTGTCAAGTGTGGTGCGAGTTGGTGCTGTGTCTGGACCGGCAGTCAATCTCATTCGTCCAATCTCACAAACCGAACGGTGTTGCAGCGTGGAAGGCTCTGGTACAACAGTACCGGAATTTGGAGAGGCATCGGATACAAAAGTTGATGACGCGGTTGACGGGCATCAAGAAGGAGTCGAACGAGGCGAAGACGAACTACCTGATGCGAGCAGAGGAAATGCAGATGGATCTCCATGAAGTGGGCGGACACATGTCCGACGCGATGATCAAGGCGATCGTACAGAAGGGTCTGCCGAGGGAGTACGACAACATTGTGACGCTGCTCAACCATGGCGAGGAGAAAGAATACCAGGCGGTGAAGCTGGATCTGGTAAGCTTCGCGAACAACAGGAGCGGTGGTGAGAACAAACCGAAGTGTTCAAACTGCAAGCGATCCGATCACACCAATGCGGACTGCAGACAAGCAAAGGAGCCATCGATCAAGTGCTACAATTGCGGGAAGCAGGGACACATGGCGAAGGAGTGTCGATCGACGAAGCAGAACCCGAAGCGTAGACACTGCAACAAGATGGGTCACACCGATGACAAGTGCTGGCAGAAGCATGGTGGAGGAACGAGCGGTGGTAAAGGAGCAACATCGCAACCAGCTTCAACCAGGATCCATTCTGGTTCAGTTTCATGGCGGAAGACAACCGGGTTCGAGACGAGACGATGCGGGATTCTGAACTGACGTCGCGGAACAACGAGCAGTTGCGATCATATTCCGGATGTACCGGATATATGCTGAAGAACAGCGAGCCTTTTTCGGATCTGGACACAATCCGAGTTGGTGTGGAGGGCAACGCGAACAGCAGCCGGTCGAGGATCGACGGGCATGGAACAGCGGAGTTCTGGGTGGACGATAGTGCCGGGCGAGAGCGACACTTGAAGCTGAAGGATGCATCTTACGTACCCAGCTACAGTCACAACCTGGTGACAGTCAGCAACCTGAACACCAACGGAGCAGTTGCAACAAAGACGAGGCGTGGATCAAGGTAACGGATGGGACAAAGCTACCATTGATGCGGGAGAACCACTTGTTCATACTGAAGGGTTTCAACACACCATCAACTGACGTGGCAAACAAAGCAGTGACCATTGAGTGGTTGCATCAACAGCTGGGTCACAACAACACGAAGGATGTGGGGAACCTGGAACAACTGGTAGACGAGATTGAGATCGACAAAGGTCATTCAACCAGCGATGTAAGTGCACTATGTGCTACCCAGAATGCGAAGCGAGCTAAAGTGAAGAAGAGTTGGAGTACAAGGGCTAAAGACAAGTTGATGATCGTTCACGCAGACACACTGGGACCACTCAACCTCAAGTCGACTGATGGAGTTCATCGCGGTGGGGTTCATCGACAGTTACAGCCGGTATGCAGAGGTCTACTTCATGCAGTCAAAGGACGAGACGTTGGCGAAGTTCCAACATTTCGTGGCAGATGTGGGCAAACCAGCGACAATAGTCACTGACGGTGCACTGGAATACAACTCAAGGGCGTTTAACAAGTACTACCGGGAGCAAGCGATTCGACACGAGTTCTCCACGCCATACATGCCGGAGGACAACGGAAAGATTGAGCGTGTTTGGGGCACGGTGGTGGGCATGACAAAGTGCATGATAGATCAAACCAAGATCCCGCCGATGTTTTGGACATTCGCGCTACGAGCAGCATTTCACCTGAAAAGCTGGAGTCTACACTCCGCTCACGGATCAACACCATTCGAGATGATGTTCGGCAGTAGACCGAATCTCAAAGGACTTAGGGTGTTTGGGTGCAAGGCGTTCGTGTATGTGGAACCACGGTACCGCAAGAAGCTCGATGCGAAAGCAGTCGAAGGAGTTTTTCTGGGGTATGCGACAAACGCAAATACATACGTTGCGGCCGTGCCGAACAATCTAGGAGGAATGGGGCTGTTACAGACCCGCAACATCACGTTTGACGAAAGACAACCATTCTTCAAAGAACCAACCGACAAGTTCGACTATGTCGAGTCTGGAGATCGAGACGATAGCGGGGGCTACCATTCTGATGATGATGGTGCGGATGGAGTTGCAGAACCCCTGGTTCTATCAGGACCAATTCTTGCGTGTGCAGATGGAGATGGTGGTACAAGAGACGGTGGTACAATGGTACAAGGAGTTGACGATGTGCAACCGGCGGTGCTGCAAATCATTGAGTCGGAACAACCGGTGCAGCAACCAGTGGAACAATCGCTGCAGCGACCAGTGGAGCAACCGGAGCAGTCAACAACACGAAGTGGTCGAGTGAGACAAAAATTAGCGTGGATGGAGGAATACGTTCTCAACGACAACTTCAACAAGGAAGCCTATCTCTGCATTGCAGCGTTGGTTTCATCGACGGATGTACCAACCGGCATTCAAGAGGCGCTGGATGATCCGAACTGGAAAGCAGCGATGAAGGCGGAGTTCGATTCTCTGGTCGACAATAAGTTTGGGAACTTGTTCCAAAACCACCGAATCCGAATCGGAAGCTCATCAGCGGCAAGTGGAATTGTGTTGTCAAACAAGGTGCAGAGGGAGAGATCCTCAAGTACAAGGCGCGACATGTGGCGAAGGGGTTCAATCAAATCTTCGGAGTGGACTGCACTGATACCTACTCCCCAACCGTGCGACTTACATCTCTGCGATGTTTATGGGCAATCGCAGCGCAACATAAATGTTTGGTTTACCAGATGGAGGAGGAGACAAATGCAATCTAGGAGTGTGTGAAGGAGACAATTCAATTCAGAGGACTTCTGGCGTTTCTTGCCTACAACCAACCAAGTGCAACAAGGATATGGTCGGACAATCAAGCGGCAATTGCAATCTCTGGCAATGCAACTTTCTGCAAGTCAACGACGAAGCAATTTGCGGTGAAGGTGGCATTCATGCAAGAGGTGCAGACAAGAAACGATTGCATGCTAAAGTATGTTCCGAGCGAGTCAAATCCTTCCGACATCTTGTCTGAAAACCTGGGGAAGACATAGACCGAGTCACTTGCGGGGGATCTTCTTGGGACAATTCATCATTCAATTCCAAACGGCAAGCGGGGGTATCAAGTTCAATCAACCAAGTCGAATCAAAAGTGCCGATTTCAAATTGACTTCATGGACCTGCCAATACCAAACTTATAAATTAGTCTACCAGCATTTCTTATTACTACTTTCTGTATCATTTTGTAAATCATCCCATAAATAACGCTCTTATGATACACATCTTCTTCTCAACTCTCTCAGCATGACTTAAAATTCCTCATAGGAAAACGAAATTGCTGGAAAAGAGAAAGAAAAACAATCGATTGTACAGGAGTGAACTTTGAGTGGAAAGGTGGACAGCTGAAGCTGCCCAATGGTTCAAATTGCAAACTTGTTTCTCGAGCTAAAACTTATTTGTTTAAAACATCCAGAGTCAAACTTAATTGCCAAATCAGTTCAAGAGTCGCTTCACAATTTAGTTATTCAGTTCTAGAGGTCGTGTCGGTATGTAAGTGTGTTTTATATTGTCTTGTTGAGTTAGGGAGGGTTTGTAGGTCGATCCATCTGAAATGGTATTTTGATAGTAGCCTTTAAGCTGTAACACGGTCTGTAGTCTCATGTCGCAAGTGAACCGAAAAGGCTCCGACCGCTTGAGGTAGAAAAACACAAGAGATAGTGTCCCTGACTCTTGAGCCAATGGTTATAGGGGCTATTGTTTTAACCTCATAAGTGAATTAAATGGGCGAATGTTACAGTTGTATATAATCACCATAAATGTACCCTCCTTGATGCCAAATAAAGGGGGATCAAAAAAATTGCCGTTTATCAACAAAGAATTTGAAAAAAACTTAAACGACGTACATAAAAGCACGGATTACTTGACGAATTTTCCACTGCAGCAAAATTACTCCAAATTAGACCTCCAAAATGAAAAAAGTGCGAAGTAAACGAATAATTTAAGGAATTCGATAAACTGATGAGTACAGGCAAAATATCCGCAACCATTGGCTACCTTCAGACAAGAAAACAAAAAAATTACCTAGGCTAAACAATTTCATTGAAGGAAAGACAGTCCTTATTGTCCTGAAAGAAAACCAACCCCAGGCCAAAACAGCGAACACTAAATATATAACTGAAGTAAGTGAAGACACAATGCCATACCAACCCTCTATATTCGAACAAATAAACGCCAAGACAGGTCGAAAGTCAACCCTGAAAACGCACGGAAGCCCCGGTACCTCAAGCTTCAATGCACCCGAATGGAGATGGATGTTAACTCAGTTCAACCTGACAACCAGTGAGTTTGCAAAACAATTGCAAAGCTATCCGATACGACAGCAAGTAAAATTCTCTCCCATGAAAAAAATAACTGCGTACAATTTGTCTCGTTTGATACCTCTGAACAAAAACCCAGTTGTAAGGCCTATTGATTTGGTGAGGTTCTGAGACAAATAACTGGCAAAACAATCACACAATGTAAAAAATCAGACCTTCAAAATCTCGGGAAAAAATTTCAAACTCTGCTGAGTCAGAAGTGTGGAATAGAATATGCCACCCAGAGCTTGAAGACGAGTTTCAGAAACCAAAAACGGACACCGTTCTACTTAATGATGCAGTAAAAGGCCCTCACCAATAGAAACCTAGCTCTAAAAAATGTAGAACCCTTTGTCCGGCACTCTAAAGTGCGCTGGTCAACTCATATAAACATCCCTCAAATTTATAAGTCAACAACACGGTTTTGAAATCAACCAAAGGCACAACGCAAGGTGATCGCCTCGCATGATCCCACTGATCGAGCTCCTGCTAAACCAAATGTCACTCAAAAATGGTATTGAGAAGACGGAAGAGCGGCAGGTGATCTTGAGAGTCTCTGTGCACCACTCGACAGTATGGATGTGCACGGAAAATCTTTAGATAACACTGTAAAGCCTTCCATGAGTCATCTCATAAAAAAAAGAAAACCGCCGAGAATGCGCCATAAAGGTGTTCGAAGACGCAAATGTTCCAATGAGATGGTTTCAGAGTCCTTGGATCGGTTATTGAAAAACCATCAGGATGCGATAAATACATGGAAAGCGAAATTGAAGAGGTAACTACTCTAACGAAAAAAAGTTTCCAAATTAGCTAAAATGTCACCACAAAATGCGCACTCCTGCTACAGAAAAGGAATGCAAAATAGATTTATCTTCATAACCAGAACAACTTCTTTAAGAGAATGGAAATTGAAAAAAAAACGTGAGAACGTAAGACAGCAGCTACTTCCTAGTATTACTGGTAATAACCATATAACCGCAGAAGATCGAAACTTTCTTGCACTACCACTAGGAATGGGAGAATTCGACATCACCAGTAACACGGACTTTTCCGGAAATTGTTTGTGGTAAACGAGCTTTTGGTGATCCGTTAGAAAACAGCGATCCAGAAATAGCAGAAAAATCAAAACTGAGAGTCAGATCAAAACTTTAATTTGAAGCGGCTAAAGTTATGGAAAGTTACTCATCAGACAAATATACGAATTTTTCTGGCAAAACATTTCTTGCGTTAAACCCTTAGGAAACTACAATTTTTCCCTCAAGAAATCAGATTATGAAGATACATGCCCATTTGTACAACCGTGTACACTGACTCACTCTCTACACTTTCCTAAAGATGGATAAACTCATCTACGACATAATGAAATTTTTGATATCTTCGCGAAACTCCTGGAAAA